TTGGAGTCAGAGCAATAATATTTTCATGCGGTGACAGACCCTCCAATAGAAATCTTTAAGTCTTACCCCCCTCTTAAAACCCACTCAGAGCTGTCACTTCTTACAGGAAGGATCCGGTTTCTCTCTCTCCCTCTCTCTCTGTGTCTGTGGTGTTCCCAGGACTTCCCTCTTGGTCATGTGACTCATTGTGTTACTGTGGGAACGCACCCCGGAGAACTTCAGCGAAACTTCAAGAAGACGAAAGACTCCAGCGACACGCCACAAAACATCATTACGCAGCACTGAAATCCACGCTTAGTAGCTGTCAACTGTCAGGCCTGAGTTAGTCCAGGATCCAGTTCAGGGTTACACCAATTAGACGAGAGCGCGACGGTAATTGGAAACATTCAATCATTCGGTAGAGAGTAAGAGTATAGAGACAAAAGAAATGAAGGAAATTCTCATCATGTGGCTCACAAAAGGAGTGGAGATGTGCGGTTTGCCAATATAAATACAATTATCTGAACTGTTCTCTTTGTATTAAACTGTCCTTGGCATGTCGATTAACTGATTCTCAAAGCGGCATTCAAAGAAACAACTTACCTCCTATGTTTATGCTGTATAATTTGGTTGCATAATCTAAGGTGGGGTCACTGACAGTGTTTGCATGAAGTAATTAAGCAGACAATATGTTTCTATAGTGTGTGTTGGGTTATGTATATGGTCATAATAGATTTGAATTAAAAGGCTGAGAGGAAGGACAGTGTTCTCTCAACATTGTTTGCTCTTCAATAGCTGAAGTTCAACCCTCGGCCATGCTGGTTTCTTTGGACGTGACAAAGAGTGAGATGGTGAGATACACCATTGTTAATCTATGCATCACATTTGTATTGGTACAAAAAATATACAGTATATATAATAATAAATATTGTTAAAGTAGCAATATGTAAGATTTTTGTGTCAAGTCATCATTAAATGGCCCTAATATATCAAAAGGCATTAATAAAACATGCTCTTTTTGAATACTTCTTTAACTGATGACAGTAGTTCAGGCGAGATGTTCAGATTTCAAAATGAGGTTTGAGTCACTATATCTACTTGAGGCATGCTTGGAATTGAAATATACTTCTTTTGGGGCATCTCACTTGGTTATAGGCAGTTGCCCTGTCATTCTCTTCCCCTCTATTAATCATTTTCTGGGTTGGGGGAGTTGTATAGTCAGAGCTTTCACCCAATCTGTATAGCACAAGCCCCTCGTTGATCCTCCTGCAGGTGGTGGGTCCGCAGGAACATGGCTGCTCCATCAGCAAAGACATGCCATGGTCTTTCAGCGGGGGCTTCGGGCCAAGTGGGGGTAAGTGTCTAGCCCAGGGACACAACGAAGGTGGACATCAGTCGGAGTAGATTACTTGGGTCATGGGGGCTTTGGGCACTTTCACCATCAAACTGCACCTCAACCATTTGGTCAAAAGGCTTAAAATGTAAACAAACAGGGATTCGGAAAAGCAAACATACAAAAACATTAGTAAAATAAAAATAAGTTCAAGCAGTAACACTTCAATTCAACTTGAATAATAAGTTTCACAAGTGAACAGTGACTGCTTGAGTCATGATGGATGAGTGCATGTATGTCTATTACTGTACAAGCTCTCAGATACTTGAGTGAAAAGTCAAGTGCATTATCCAAATGTGTCAATATATTCGAGACATTATGTACGGTGGCAGAGTGGTTAGCATTCTTGCTCATCAGTAAGAAGGGTTTGGATTTGAATCCCGGTCGGGACAGGGTCTTTCTGAGTGGAGTTTATCGCTTTTTTCCTATTATTCAGAATGAAAGTCGTTTGTCCCAACAGAAAGATTAGTGTAAAAATATAATGAATGAACTGTAAGAATGAATGAAATGTATGAACAAATTTAACTATAACAAAATGTCTTCGAAGAGATTCGAAAATATGAACTTTCTATTTGATACTTTGGGCTGAGAGCTGATTGGCTGAGTGAGTGGTCCTCTCTTTTTCACTTTTTTTGTCTTAAAAATCGGATACAAACATATGAAAGATGCCATTAAATCCATGCATGTGAAAACCAGTGACGTCACCAAACTGTTCTGTACCAAACTAATTGTTAGTTTACACATAGTTCCATTTGTGTGGTTTGTTATGTAAAACACAAAACCATTGTACAAAACTTTGAACTCAACTTTTTAATGCATTGTTTGTGTATTTCACCATCTCACATAACATGAAAAGGACACACTGTATACTGTATGTGTTGTCGGGACGAGCACAAACGTGTCCATCTGATAATTTATAGATTTCCAGATCAAATACCAAGAATCTCTTCAGGCTACTTGCCCCATAATTTTTATTTGACGATCATACATACATTTAGAGATTTAATACCGTGTCCTCCAGCGTCGAGGAAAACAGCCGCGTCTTTGATTCCATTTTGATTCATGGTGAAGTTCTCTGGTTCTGTAATTAGCTCGACTCATGCTTGGAGCCACACACACAAAAGAGGCTGATGAGGCAGAAAATCAGTCCAACCTGATCACCGCTGACGGTTCAGTTTCATAGTCACCATTTGGTCCTCGGCAACACTACAATGTGCACTTCAGGGCTGTGGGAATATGAACTCAAGTGAATCATCTGAGAACATGTGAGTTTATGGGAGAAAACGAGCAACGAGCTGCAACTTATGACGAGGACGTAGATTATTTTTGATTCTTTTTTCCAATTACTTTGACATGTCTCTGCTGAATGTTGATTTTTGTTTGTTTGTAAGTTGTCTATGATAAATTTTGCGCCATCCCAAATACTGATACTTGTGGCAGAACTTGCATATGTAAGCCTATTCCTGGCAGACCTTGGATTGGAAACTGAGTAAGATAGGGCCTGGTCAGTACTGTGATGGGAGACCTCTAAGAACACCTGGTGCCCCAGTGGGGCGGATGCAGCTGATAAATGTCAAAATATCTTTCTGTCCTTAAGCAAGATACTTCACCCATATTGCCTGTGTGAATAATTGGTGGTGGTTGGCTAACTTGATGACCACTATTTTTTCAGAATGACCCGTTTGCATTGATTGGCTATGACCAATATAGATCCAAATATGTTTTAACCAAAGGATTGGTCGGACACATAACTACCAACACAACTAGATGGTTAAAACAACCAAAAAATGGGTTTATTGTCTCAAAGTCCACGCTAGCTGCCTCTATAGTCCAAAGTCTATTTGTGAAAAATTACCTGACCACTGTACTTTTAACAGGAATTGGAAGCCAACACATTTTATCACTAAAAAGGAGAAAACAAAAAACAATTGGAAATGCAAGACATGAAAATCCAATGATGGATTCAGGTGGACCGACTATCAGGGTCTCAAGTCAGAACCAGAACAAGTCAGAAATGTATTTTTTTTACTATACAACTACATACAAACCTCCTCAGAATTGCAATTTTTTTCTCACACAGCTCATGACCTGCCCTATCGACAAAAACCATAACACAAAATAAGTCTTTGGACGAAAACTTTTACTTTATTTTCATAGATCACAAACTTGTCTCAAAAAGTAACATACATAACACATTTTTATGTTTGCTAACTTTGTATATAAGGCACAACATAAAGTCACGCACACTCAAATGCCTTCGCCGGACGCCACAGTGGGAGAGGACGTGCTACCATCAAAGAATTCAAAGTCTTTATACGACGGCAAGTCTGAAAACTGAGGAGAGAGAGAGCATTTTTGGAATGTACTGTAACTATGCCCCAGTTAACTCTCCCTCCCCTCTGAAGGAATAGACAACAAAGGACTTACCTCATGAGTTTGAGGCTTTCCAAATACTGTAAGAATGGTGTTAGCTGCAGAAAGAGAAAGGCAAATATATTTTATCTCACATATTCATATAGTTCAAGACCAGATTATTATGAAATATCAGTATGTTTTTAATATTAAGAGATACCTTTTTTGTCCTACAGTGGGGAAATTTCAGTGTTGCATCACCAGTTACAGAACAGTAGGAATGAGGAGCACAAAACTCAAGATAAATGAATAACTCTGTGTTAAAATGAAATAGAAAAAAATGAAATCTCTAACTGTAGCATCAAAAAGAAGCAAGTATAAAATTCTTCTTGGACGGCACGGTGGCACAGTGGTCAGGACCTGATTCCACCTCCAGGCCATTCACTGTGAAGTTTGCATGTTCTCCCCGTGTCTGTGTAGGTTTCCTCCGGGTGCTCCGGTTTCCCCTACGACTAAAAACATGTACAATAGGTCATCTCTGATTGGAGTGAGAGACAAAAAACAACAAATTGTAAAACGCTTTGGTCCGTGAAAGGCGCTATATAAATAAAGATTACTTTCTTACAATCTCTAGCTTTAGCATTCAAAGAAAGCAATCTAACATCTCCAACTTTAGCACAACGAAGGCAAGGCAAGTTTATGTGTATAGCACAATTCAAACACAAGGCATCGTAACTCATTGACTGCCAGCCGTTTTTGATGATTTCACTGTTTGTCAAGGCCCACAGAATATTTTGGGCTATGACTATGTGGAAGTTTGAGACCAGATTCTGAAAGACTGGATTGTCAAATTTCATCGGCAAAAATAAGTTGGTTTCTAGCTATTTTTTTTCTCCTTTAATCTCCAGTCCAATAGAGGGAAAATTCTCAGGAAGTTCCGTCAATGGCAGTCAGTTAAGAAGTAAGAATTATTTATTTTTTTCAACAATATTTTTCTTTGCGTTTTTAAACAGAATCCCTACATCCCTACATTTACACCGACATGTGGAAGAAAAGAAGAAAAAAGAGAAAAAAACAAAGCAAACCATAAGAATAATAAAGGCCGAACAAAGAAGGTAAAATTACTTTTTCTGACCTCTGATAAATGCATATGTTTCGGGTGTGTGGTCAAAGCTAGCTTGTTACAGAGCGGTGGTTGACCAGTGCAGGGGCCATGGGGAGGACAGGGGGGTGGACTTAGGACCCCCGAGCACCTTTCCACTAAATTAAGAACCTATTAGACTTGAAAAGGCTCCAGGGTCTCCAGCGTGCGCCTGGGGGAGCGGGATAATCTTCAAAGTTCAGTGTTTGGTTCTCATTAGCTTTAACACTTCATATATTATGTCAGTGTCACAGGAGGAGGAAGTACTCAAACGTGTTGTAAAAGTGCTGCTACCTCAAATAAAGTAACCGCGGTGAGTTTTCTCTGCACGTGTTTGAGCATCTGTAAATCTAAATGAAAGGGAAATATTTTGTTTTCATTATTTCTATGTGCAATACGTTTAAAGCCGGAGTACTTCACTTTGGCGCCCGCAAAAACTGACTTTGTAATCTTGGTAACTAAAAGTGCGAGCTCTCTGATAATCACATGCATTTATTTTTTGGCCTGTCATGTCTTTACAGTAGATCAGCTTTGTCAGACAGAAAAGTGATAAATATTGGTCCATCCTCATTCAGCCAATCAGCTCTCAGTATGTGAAAGATCAAAAGTTTTAGATAAAGACAGACTGTTGTGTTATGTGCCTTTTTTTAATTTACTCTGAGTATCTATGATGTTACTGCCTTCTTTTATTGTATCTATCTTGTTTGGTTTAGCACTTTGAGTGGCTTTGTGTAAAATTTTACAACTTTGAAACGTATAGAATAATATATATATATAATAGGGGCGCCAGTAGCTCAGTTGGTAGAGCAATGGCCTTAGAGCCTGAAGGTCATGGGTTCGAGCCCGCTATAAGACCTACTTCACGACTCCCACTGATGACTGCTGTCGTTGTGTCCTTGGGCAAGACACTTAACCCCACTTTGCCTGAAGCCCCTGCTGAAAGATCTCAGTTCCTGTTCCTCACCACCTGCAGGAGGATCAGTGAGGGGCTGGTGCTCTGTGTACTGGGTGGCATCTCTGGCCACTCCCCGACCCAGAAATGGATTAAGGGGAAGAAAATGGATGGATGAATGGAAGGATAGAATGATATCTACATCTCCCCCTGGTGGTAGCATAGGGGGTTACAGACTTCAAGCATTTTTTTTTTACCTTTCATACTTGTTTCACCATATATTTTTTTCATATACCAGGTAATATTTTGCATTCTAAATCACAAAAAAACAAAGTAAAAATGGCATTACATTTTTGAATGGCCAAAAATCATGAATAATATGTCTTCTTTAAAAAACGGTAAAACACATTCTTGTGGACCACCAATAGTTTTTTTTTGTTTTTTGTTTTTTTTTACACCCTGCCAAAATTGCCTGATTAAATATTGGATTATATGAATTCAATGATTTTGACATTGATGCTATAGCTCCACATGCTTTCTTCTTCTATGGTTTCATGCAGGTGACTTTAGCATCAGAAAGTGCTCTTCTATCATGCTGTTATTATCACCAATCATTTCCCTGTTGACTCTCATCACTCTTCTGCAGTAGTTACAAAAATGAAAGATAGTTTTGAGTTCCCTCGGTTCGTTGTTTGTTGTTCAGGCAGTAAAAAACTGACAGTAATACAATGTGCGTGTTGGGACATTGTGTGAGAAGCATTTTTTCAAGTGTTTCTTAAGTATTTCATTTCGCAGTTTGACAGTTTGTGATGGGAAAATTAGCCCAGTTCAAGGTGAACATCCTATCCCAAATTCACGGTTAAAATTACATGTGTCAAATCGACTTTTCCCCCAGAGGCTGTGCTGTTGTTTGGGTAGAAAGTTTGAAGATTACTGTTTCATAATCCTATTAGAAATGTCACGCAGTCTTTCCATTTTGACCTATTAGACGTTAATACAGTTACACCAGAGGCCAGAGGCTCATTTGTCACGTGGGTGAAAAACAAATGAGGCCCAAAAGGCAAAAACTGCAAAAAGTAATGGATTTAATAAAAAGATGAAACAAATCCAAAAACACCGGGAACGAGGACCAAACTAAAACAGACAAGGAATGACAATGACGGAACAGGGAGTGAAGGAACACACAGGGCTAAATACAAGATAACGAGACACAGGTGATACACATGAGGGCAGGGCTGGTAAGACAGGAAGAGCAACCAAAGCAGACACAGGGATATAACAAACTACAAAATAAAACAGGAAATAAATCTAAACCATGACAGTACCCCCTCCTCAAGGGACGGATCCCAGACGTCCAAAAAACAACCAGGGAGGGAGGAGAGGGACCGTAGGAAAGGCAGGAGCTGGGACGTGGAGCCGGGGCCGGGACGTGGAGCCGGGGCCGGGACGTGGAGCCGGGGCCGGGACGTGGAGCCGGGGCCGGGACGTGGAGCCGGGGCCGGGACGTGAAACCGGGGCCGGGACGTGAAACCGGGGCCGGGACGTGAAACCGGGGCCGGGACGTGAAACCGAAACCGGGGCCGGGACGTGAAGCCGGGGCCGGGACGTGGAGCCGGGGCCGGGACGTGGAGCCGGGGCCGGGACGTGGAGCCGGGGCCGGGACGTGGAGCCGGGGCCGGGACGTGGAGCCGGGGCCGGGACGTGGAGCCGCCGAGCTGGAACCCGGCAGGGTTGGAGCAGGAGCTGGAGCGGGGACTAGAGCGAAGCAGGTACGAAAACCGGAAGGCCCCCTGGATGGAGAAACGATGTCCAGCGGAGCCAGGTCAGGGACGAAAGCCTGCAACCACCCAGGACGGAACAAAGTGTCCTGCAGTGGTCCAGGACAAAGACAAGAGAGGGATGCTTCCAACTCCTGCAGCAACTCTCCAGTTGGGGATAAAGGCCAGAAAAATAAAAAATGAAGCAGTCTGCTTGGGCCTTGTGTGGTTCCATCATTCTGTCACGTGGGTGAAAAACAAATGAGGCCCAAAATGCTAAACTGCAAAAAGTAATGGATTTAATAAAAAGATGAAACAAATCCAAAAACACCGGGAACGAGGACCAAACTAAAACAGACAAGGAATGACAATGACGGAACAGGGAGTGAAGGAACACACAGGGCTAAATACAAGATAACGAGACACAGGTGATACACATGAGGGCAGGGCTGGTAAGACAGGAAGAGCAACCAAAGCAGACACAGGAATGTAACAAACTACAAAATAAAACAGGAAATAAATCTAAACCATGACATCATTAAAAAAAGGGATTTAGATGATTATGTGTTTAAGGAAATCTCTGCATTTAAACGTCAAGTGATTGGTCGCACCGAATACTACAATATTATCTCACTTAAAAAACAATTAACTCATTTTGTACGTACCAAATACTTGTATATGCACACAGGTGGCTAAGAAGAAGGTCCTAGACTCGAATCCCGGTCAGAACAGGGCCTTTCTGAGTGGAGTTTGCATGTGTCTGAGTAGGATTCCTCCAGGTGCTCCGGGTTTCCCCTATCACTAAAAACATGTACAATAAGTCTGGCATGCTGCACTGGCGACCCCGCTCCCATCTCTGTGTGGGCTGAGAGACAAATGCCCACAATTGTAAAGCGCTTTGTGACTCTGGTCTGTAAAAGGCGTTATATAAATAAAGATTACTTACTTACTACTTACTTACACTCTCACTTCTCAGTAAGAAGGTCCAAGGTTCGAATCCCGGTCAGAACAGGGCCTTTCTGAGTCAAGTTTTCATGTTCTTCCATGTCTGAGTGGGTTTCCTCCGGGTGCTCCGGTTTCCCCTACCACTAAAAACATGCACAATAAGTACGAATGTAAATGAGTGAGTGAATGGATTCTGTTGGTTGGATTTTTTGTTGTGGCAGTGTGTTTGGCGTCTTGCTTCTGTCATCACCGGGTGTGGAGTTATTGCAACAATATTTGAACTCTGAAGATTGTACTGTGTAGTGCTTTGAATAGCCCTGGTCTGTAAAATGCGGTATATAAAAAACACTACTTACTTACTTACATTTTAATATAACTTTTGAAAGCCATAGCTGCCTGTGAAAAGCCTGATCGCCTCAGATCTCAGGAGCTGTAAGGTGTGGGGTCTGGTTGGGTGGGAAAGCCATGTGTCACGGGGAACTGGCTAAGGCTGTAAAATGCTAAACTGCTGTGGTGTCCTTTGGCAAGACACTTCACTCTTGTGGCCGAGTGTGAATCTGGTGAGAGAGAATGTTGGGTTTAAGGTTCAAGGTATCTTTATAATCCCTGAGGGGCGATTTGGTTGCAGCAGCAGAAAGGCACAAGGAAACAATAAGTAACTAAGTACTAAGAAATACTAAGAAATAGTGCCTTTCACAGACCAGAGTCACAACACGCTTTATAATTGTGGGCATTTGTCACTCACTCCACACAGAGATGGAAGAGAGGACCTATTGTACATGTTTGTAGTGATAAGGGAAACCTACGCAGACACAGGGAGAACATGCAAACTCCACTCAGAAAGGCCCCGCAACAAATACACAACAAGATTGCAATGATCTGTTTAAAATACAAATGGCAACGGGGAGAAAAGAGCTCTTAAATCAGTTAGTTCTACATTTAGAAGGTATGTACGCTGGTCGGACCTAAAACGGTAAGATTTGTTTGAATCAAGTGGTTTTTATCTTAATTTTAGTAAATTCGGTCTCAAAACAAGATTTGCCAATAGGATTGCTTTATCTTCTCATTCCAAGCAAGACCTTTCTTGTATCTTTCTAAACTGAGATCATTTTGTTTGTCTCATTGGCAAATCTTGTTTTAAGGCAGTCAAAATGGGCTAAAACTACAATACATTTTACCAAATTAGAGCAATTTATAACCTATTTTTCACAACTTTTTGCAGTGCAGCCTTACTTCTGCCAGTCATCCCCAGGGTATCCATGGTTACGATAGTTGCTTACCATTATAGGTGTCATGGAAATACTTTTTTTATGGGAAACTTATACAACAAAAAAAGGTACAAAGGGAAGTGGTAATAGTCTGAGGCCTAACACTATGATTTCAAAGTGACTTTAGACCTGATTTTAAGCCTTTTTGAAAGATAAATATAGTATGGACTCTTTGCTCGGGCATTTCATGTTCTCAAAGCTAAAATACTGTTTGTGTGTAGAAAAAGCACATTACCTGTAATCAGCAGTGCCTCTGACAGCCTAATTCGGGGCTGTTCGAGGGGCTACTAATCATAACATACGTATACAAGGCAGGGGGGATACGGGCCGGTGGTCGATGGATGATTCCAACGCACATGTGGCAGAGGTGTGATCCAGTTTCAACACATTTACTCAAGATTGGAACCAAAACATAAGTCTGTACGTACCAAAAGAGACACATCGCCCAAACGGTTCGTCCCATGGAACTATTAGAGGATCGTTAGTCTCCAGTATGTGTTGCAATGGAAAGGGTCATAATAATAAATGGTTGAGCTGACGGGCACTTAGAGATTTCATAAAAGCTGTAATTTGTGAGTATTTGTGCCGTCTTTGATCATAACCATAACTTTTTTCTATTTATAATTTCTCACCATAAAATACAGTAGTTTCCAGCTCTTTTTCCATCTTGCTAGTCAAAGCATCATGGTGTCACTACTGGGCCTGAGCAGTCGATTTGATGGCTTTTAGTTTTGGAAGTGTATATACTCATCTCATGTATTTCTTGGGCTTCATAACTGTTTTACTTTTTCTGTTTCTTTACGTAGTTTATTTCTATGTTATTGTTTTCTTTATGAAATTATCTTTTGCTTTTGAAATGTGAGGAGTTCTATCCTCACATTTCAGAATATCAAATACTTGTTACCATAGCAACATACTGTTTGCTATGAAGTTTTGCTACAATCTGGCACATTGTGTACAACTTGTCTAAGATTGTTCATTAATGTGTGTTGTCTCGATGAAACAAATAAATAAATAAATAAAAATTAAATATACTGTCGGAAGTTAGCATTAGCCTTTTTCCTGTATTGACCCCTTGCATGTGACGTCCCGGCCACGCCCACTCTCCATGACAGACGGCAGAAGTCTAACTGCGAGCCTACGGACACCTGACCAAAACAACCTGTTTCAGCGCATTACGGCCAAAACTGTGACATTTTGCAGTGCGGTTGATTATACTAACAGGCAAGGACATAAGCTTTTTTATCTGATACCTGCTCGTCATGAAGACAGAAGACGACGATGGCGGCAATCAACCAAAAGGACTGGGACCCATCCAAGTACTCCCTAAAATGCAGTGAACACTTTTTACAAGATAAAGCAATCACAAGTTTGTATTTATTTAATTTCCATTAATTTGGAGGACAATGACACATGTCAAACGTGTCTCTTACTACTGTCCTGTATGTGCGCTGCAACATTGACATTTTTATCTTTTAAGTCAGTTGCGTGTTTCACTATTTTCCTCTCCGTCAGTACGTATCATGTTTGGCTGTAGACAGAAAAGCCACAGAAAAGTGGACTATTGCTAATGCTACCAGCAAAATGTACATATAAATCTGCTCCAGTGTGAGGGGATGCATTGTTAACGATAATGATAAAGATCATGTAGGGTGAATTTGGGCAAAAACAGACATTTTATTTAATCGATAAAATTGACTGGGGGGAGAAGGTACGGGTCAACATCCAGTTAGGCGATCCTTAACTTCTCCAAATACCACTCTTTGTGAGCCCTGACCTGATGTCCTACTTCCACCTATAACGTAATCGAACATGTGCTTGAAGCAGCCACTTCTCGATTTAGGAGAGGAAGCTCCGTTTTTAAGAGTTGTAGTCCGTTTTGCTCTCGCAGCAATGCTAGTTTCCAATACTTCCGCCGTGAGCTCATTCACAATCACGTGACTGGATGAAGTTGGTGCATCTGGTCAATATCAGCTGCCATCATAATGACCAGTTTTTGCACTTAATAAAAGTGAGTAAGGGTAAAAACTTTTGAAATTAATCTGGTGAATACCATTGGTTGGAACGGGAGCAGTCATAATGATGGCTCTGGGAGTTCTCGGGCTAGATGCTAATGCTAACTCCCAACATGTACTACTAACCTCAGCCCATTGACCTGAATGGGCTGACTTCTTGGATCTCCGGGGTGGAGCTTGGTCCGTCCATGGGAGTGGGTATTTTCCCCATGGTTTCTCATTTTCCCATTGGGTTATTTGGAGTTTCAAGGCCATTTGCCTCGAATGACTTTACCAAATTATTTTTTTGTCAAATTATGAAATCAAAAGATGTTTATGAGACAGACAGTTTAACCAATGTTTCACAGGAATCAGTCAAACCTTAATAGATACAGTATTAAACATGTCCTTCCGCTCTCTGTGACCGTCTCCTCACTTTACAATCACAAACAGAGTATGTGGCGTGTACTTGTGATACTTCAAAGCTCTGTCAGCCTGGTTCCACATAAACAGGCTGAGTGCGAGTGAACCGCCGGGCCCCTCGGAGCCCAAAACACAAGACCACAGCCGTGATTACACCGTCCCACTGCTAAGTCTGTTTACATACAGGCCTAATTGTAAATCAGCTTTATACAGGCTTCAGTTAGAAAGACATTACGCTGGAGACATTACGGCTAAATTAATCGCTGAGAGGCAAACATGCTCCATGGGTTTACGACCGATGCACTTTAATTTAAGCACGACACGCTACGGCTGATGATGTGGCAAATACACGTTTTCTACAATTATATCATTTGCATTAAGGTTTTTCTAGATAGATAAATAGATAGACAGATAGATACTTAATTGACCCCCGTAGGAAAAATTCAGGTGTCCAGTAGCAGCAGAAACACATCCATCCACACAAACAAAACAAATACATTATTATTATTCTAATAGTATAATAATAATTCTAAAAGTAGCTAACAATAGTATTAAAATAGTATTAACATTGCTATGCTCATTACTAAGTTTATAAATAGGCTGGTTTTATCTTGAGTTGACATGTTAACGTATGTAACATTAAATCAATGTTAAATCTCCCAGAAGTATGAAACTACCAGAACTTCCAGAGCTGTCATTTTGACTGCTCCTTTTCAAAACAATGGAAGCCTGGCCTTATCCATCCGTACACTCAGTTCAATCATCATTTCACTTCATGTAACGTCTGGGTCTGGTCCCTGTGTTAGCGATTACAATCGGTTGAATTTTGACCGACCATTCAGAGAGCGCGGAAGGCAGGTGTTGTAGTTAGTTGTGGGTGACGTCAAGAGTTTGCGTCGAACGGGAAGATTGTAGTTTGGCAGTGGCGAAGAATGCGATAGTAAAGTAATCCGGTCTGGTTATATCAAGAAATTGAAGCAGGAGCAAGAGGAATGTTTAGCAAATGTAATTTCTGGAAAAATTGTGGCGCTACTCCCCACGGGCTCCGTTAGAGGCATTGGAGCTGGCTAGGCTAAATGCTAACAACACACTCGGACGCACTACAGACGTCACGGTAAACTCAGATCCAATCGTTTCAATCTGCAAAAGGAGTTAGCCCCTCCCACCTGTTCACGGAGCTCAATGGAGCACCACCAGACCTTAGTACGAAATGTAATTTGTACTAAAGGTGTGGTACAACCAGGCTAGAGTTTACCATCATTTTTGTTCAAATTTTTTTACTCAAAAAAGAGCTTTATAAAACAGATGCATTATGATGATGATGATGATGAAGATCATGATTATTATGACTCTTACTATTATGAATAGTCCTAATTCTTTTATAGTCTGTTTCTTAACAGTTATGTCCAAACTCAGGCCCGTGTGCCAAATGGGGCCCTAAATTTGAGACCATAAATACAAATGCACAGTGTCATCCAGCCAACTTCAGCCGTACCAATACAGGCATAAAGCTTGCATTCTCTAGAATCCAGTTGGGTACTTCATTAATATAGACATACCTTTGTTTTTGATTGTGTCACAAACTTCCATATATGGTGCTAATGTTGCAGTATAGTGAGATAGTTAAGTAAGTAAGTAAAGTTTATTTGTATAGCGCCTTTCACAGACCAGCATCACAAAGCGCTTCACATTTAAAACACATTAAACACATAAAAATACTAGGGCTGTCAAAATTATCGCGTTAATTCACGTTAATTACAGTTTTCATTAACGCGTAAAAAAATAATTAACGCATTAACTGCCATTGACGTGTTAACACGTCGATTGCGTTTCCCGCTATTTTCACGTTCCCAGATGTCTATTGTATCTAATATGTAAGGCTTGAGGCAATATTTTATCGAGCCAGCAGATGGCAGCATTGCTCTATGAATGGTTTGAAAACAGCTAGATGCACTTTCTGGTGATTTCAATAAAACTTACCTCTACTCGACTGGGGATTACAGGGGAACGAAACAAGCTAGAAACAAAATTATTTTTGCTGATGAAAGTAGACAGTCCATTCTTTCAGAATCTGGTTTTGGATTTTAGATAGTCATAGTACACAATATTCTGTGTGTCTTGAAAATTCAGTAAAAATCATCAGAAACGGTTGGCAATATGGGAGTACCTGTTCTGAAATAGGCTGGCAGTCAATCGCATGTTCGAATGACCCGCCCATTTATAATAATATCACTCAGAATGCCGCGGACACGTGCGTGTGTCATGGTGACAGCGGTAACGTGGTCATATAATACACGCATATATATACGCACAGGGGCAACATTCTCTGATGTTGTGTGACACACGGAGGAGAGGAGGAGACACGCTGAAATGCAACCAAACTCGCAAAATTAAAGCTGGGGTACCTACATTTTCCCTTTCATTAACAGCTCTTGTTGATTGTACCCAAAAGTAGAAGGTTGTGAGCAAGTCAAACAGATTTAAGTACATTTGGTATGAATAACAATGTGACATTACATTTGAAAATCTCATTTAACTTCAATTGAAGTGGATCTGAAATAGAATGTTAAAAATGCAATTAATCGTGAGTTAACTCACCATTACTATGCGATTAATCAACTAAAAAAAATTAATCGTTTGACAGCCCTAAAAAATACACACACAAATCAGATTTAAAAACAAAGACACAAACTAAACTTAATATCTGTTAAATATAAATCAACATGCACACATCATACTATTGTAAATCCCAGAACCGCCCAAATCCAGTCCAATCAGTTTTAAATTCTGGTTTTGTCAGCCCTTGGACCAGTCTGATGAACTAAAGTGGCTATCTTATTAAAAGTTTGGCAACCCCTGGTATAAACATGTTGGATTCAGAACAGATTCTCACAGACACTCAGGACTGGGACATATTTTAGTCTCTGTTGACGTCACACAGAACAAGAAGCTTCTTTGTAGCAGCGGCTCTGGAGCGAAATGAAATGAAATCTTATGAAATTAGTTTTCATTATTTTATCGGTCACATTTAGAAATGGAGACCAAATATTTCCTGATGTAGTTGCTGTAGTTTTTCAGTGCAGACAAAGTAGCTCACGGTATAATATTGACATCCAGTGAAGGAACAGCAAGAGAGTGACGTGAGAAATGAAAGTGAGAGACAAGGATTCTATTTTCTGTGTCGTAAAGTAGTCAGATTATCTCTCTGACGGATGAGATTTATGACAATCTGTGAACAAACAATTAAGAGGTTAAGATTACTCAGAAATTCATATACAAGAAAATTATTGTTTTACAGAGCAGCTAATATAGGAGTGTGTGTGTGTGTGTGTGTGTGTGTGTGTGTGTGTGTGTGTGTACTGAAATGTATTTGTATTAACTTTTTAATACATAAAATACAGTCATTGTACACAATAATACAATACACTAATGCAATACACTATATATATTTCATTTATTTTTACATATTTGCACATTTGTTTCCTATTTTTTTGCACACCCTGAGTGATCCTCTTTATACCAAATGTAACATGTACATCTCTGCTTTGTGAGATCAATAACATTTATCTTTTCTTGTTTTATCCTAATACGCGGTGTATTTTCATGTCCACAATTGATATAAATAGATAAATAATAGTAATCATGATCATAATATTACTCCAAATATAGTTTCAAAATGACTCAAATATATTATTAACAATGAATTAAGTCAAATGTATAGCACGAATCATGTACGATATTTATTGCAAAATCAAAATCTCTGTAGTGATTTTTGATAATTACTGTCTGATGCACGTTGAACTCAAAAGAAGCACCCACTCAACTCAACTCAATGCATCCTTCACGGTTGACAGTGTTACCCCTGTGCCCCTCCTGCTGTGAGTGGCAAACAAAAGCACTTCTCCAGAGGCTCTCGGTCTGAGTGGAGACTTGAGAGGCGTTTAAGTGACGTCCGCAGGCCGCCGTTGTGCTGAAATAGAGACACAACGTTTATGACGGAGGCTCATAATGGGGCAGGTTGAGTTTCTTTGTTGTGTCAGAGGGATTAGAGACGGACACAAAAAAGCCCAAACTGAAACCCGCTGAGGCCACGACGGCTCCTGACTCAGCCGCAATCTGACACCAAAGTCTCATATCACGGAGCCGGACCAAAGGCGGACGGTGAGGGAGTAACTGAAGAGTGCGGTAATGTGTGGACTCAAACAGGATGTGGCGCTACCTGCATGTGAAGGCCGGATCCTGTCACGAGGCCGCAGGGAATCTAAGCAGGGCAGGGGTTGGGTAGTACTGTGATGGGAGACCGTTCGGGAAGACAGGGTGTGACAATGGGGGTGGCTGCGGCTGCCGTTTTGTCTTTATGGGCAAGACACTTAATCAAAATTGCGTGGTGTGTGTGAATGATTGGTGGTGGTCGGAGAGGCTGCTGGCACATACTGGTTGGCTCGCTTGTGTCAGTGTGTATCAGGTCAGCTGTGGCAACAATGGAATAGTTATCCCCACATGTGTATATGGAGTGAATCCCATGTGGAGCGTTTTTGGGTAGAAGAAGCACTACAGTATAAAGGGGTCTGAGTAGGGTCCTGTAGGCGACCCTGCTCCCGTCTCTGTGTGGGGTGAGAGACAAATGCCCAAAACCATTTTGAAGCTCTTTGTGACTCTGGTCTGTGAAAAGCGCTATATAAATAAAGATTACTTACTCACTACAAAGACGATGTGTCATCATTATCACTAACTGACTCTTAGTGGATTATGAATATGGAAACAGACTGAGGAACAAGCCTTCAAGTCAATAACCTGTGTTCACAAATA